TTCCTTCATTTGCTGTAGCATTGGACAGATTCATTCTCGTTCCTATCCGTCTTGGTTGGGAAATTCTTCGATGCGCGATAGACGTTGTTTTCACAAGTCTCTTCCTTTGTGAAATGTGATTCATTCAGGCAATTTATAAAATATGTAAATATTTCAGTCATTTTGACAGATTCTTTAACAGATTGACTAAAAGTGATTAAGACGATCAAAAGGGCCTAAAAACATCACAATAGATTAGTATGTAGGATTAGAAGCCAAACAATATAGAAATGTACTTTTCATCATAACATTTTCATTCTCTTAGTGATGATATTAAACATAGAAATGTTTGGAATTCGTTGTCATAATAATACAGATGGACATATGTTTTAGTCAATTTGTAAAATAACTGAATATTCAGGCGTTTAATAAATTTCCTAAGTGAAAATTTTGCACATTTTGACTGTAAAAATATACACACGATAAAATAAGCAATGCTCAGGAGAAATATTTACATTGTGTTGCAAGTCAAAGTAGTGTAAACGAAAATCGAAACGAAAATTACCAAGCAACATTTCCTTATTATTTCCAAAACTGTATTTCATTTTGTTGATCAATGTGACCATACGCCCTTATACTATCAATAAAAGTGACAAATGCGCTTACGAATTGCGCAGCACAGGTCGCGAACTAGTCTAGGTTTCTGCTATATCACCCGGGTACTCAATAACAAAGGCAACAACCAGTCCAGGGGAATTGCTGTAGATCAGTGCCCCTTTAGTACGATGTGTAGCACAAGTATGTACACTTAAAGCCAGACACACGTTAACGATAATAATGACAGAGAGATGAATAAACGCAGGTCGGGTCAGTATAATTTCATTGGTTAATTATAAGTTGCCATTTTGTGAACATTTTTTGAAAAGATGAAAGAAATGATGGTGCAGAAAAAAAACTAGCAATTAACACTATAACCGTGATGCAATCGCGTTACTCAGTACAATCCACAAAGAACAATATATAGAGCGCCTTTTTATTATTTATTCCATATTTTGTATCAATAATTCATTTATGGGTACCAAAGAATGAATTATATCACAAATATGATTTAATCAATACCATGAAATGTTTATTGATACGGCAAATCGATTTTTAGATATCAATAACAGAATTTATCAAATAATGTACTTTATCATCTAAAAAATCGAATCAGCTATGATATCTATAGCCTTCGTCTCCGTGACCTTATGCCCATTTTTTACAGTTCGTGTAGATAGGTACAGTATGTTAACATTTACATATATAGTCATATTCAGTCGATGTATCTGCATGTGTGAAAGGGCAAGCTTCTTCCCTTTATTGAATTAGTTTTCCGCCTGGCTCTGAATGTGGAACACAGGTTTTAGAATTACATATGTATCTTGTGAAAATTGTATTTTCTATGCGATTTGAATATTTATATTTACTACTGTACTTACTACGTTTTACGTGAGACGTTATATATTAATATGTCATCATATATTACCATTATTGCTTTTAGCTAAACACAATTGACAAATACTCAAAAACAAATGACTAGTAAACTAATAATGCACGTTGAAAATAATATATGGTTAATGCCAAAATGATGAATCAAGGACCAAGTAGAAGATATATTGACAGTAGCGCTGGGAAACTATTCAACAAGACCGTGAAAACAAAAGTGCTTTAGCTCAATGTTTATCTCTCCTGCCGGCCATTATGCAACGGCCATCTTATACACAACCCCGCGCGCACGTCTACAGGTCTCTTCCTGTGGTACGGTAATTAGTAGAACCTCTCCCTCAAGTGTATTGGATTGAATTAATTTTGTTAAGAAAATATTCAATTTATAATTTTGTAATACATTTTCTATTTTAAAAGCTTAAGTTGTTTTTTTGTACTTCTCGGTCGAAAGTCATATTTTTTCTTTTGTCGACAGAGAATCATCAATAAATTCTAACTATATCGATTGTTTCGGGTAGATAGTATTTTTTAACTCATTGTATTTCCGCCCGTGCGGCACGAGCACTTGATCACATGCTTTTCAACAGAAAGAGTCAAGCGAGCGAGCGAGAGAGAGAATGTCAAAAATATGGGAGGTTTACTCCTCAGGTAATTAGTTGTACTTTATATTGTTTATTAATGCTTAGAGTAGCTTTTCATGTATTATTTCATGTAATTTAATATTTATGCATATTTGAAGGAAAAGTGTAGGATTTTGACAACTGTTGACTCCTGGAACAGTCCATTATATTCTAGCGTAGGGATGTTTTCTTAAATGTACATTTATTAGAGCCAAAGTCACTTTATTTTTTATTTATTTCCAATATTTGTAATGTTTAGCGTTTTCGCTTTATTTAGGCGTTTGTTAGGCTTTCCTTTTTGAGTACATTTACTTGATCGCACAACCTATTTCCCCTCGAGTAAAATAGACTAGTCCAAATCTCGGCATTAGGCCGGCTGGCAGTGTTACTCTAGTTTCAGTGTTTGTTTACATTTTGGAGTCAGGTAAATGTTATATATTCAAAAGCGTTAATTCTTTCGCTATTTTTGGTATTTTATAGAATATCTAAAGATATTTCCGAGTATTTTGCAATTATTTTCGTAAGAAAAGTGAATTTTCAATTGAGGTTTATTTTTGTAAGCAACAAGTGTATGAAAGCTTCCAGAGATTTTTGCGTGCACTTTATTTTTGAGTAAGTGCAAAAGAGATTACATATTATGGGTTTCCTGATATTTTGTTACACTATTTTATATATTTATTTGATAATTATCTCATAAATAATATAAGGCATTCCAGAGAAAATTAGTAACACCGAGTCATTGTACAATTGAGAGTAATGAATTTAATGCCAAGAGACTTTCACTAAGAGGTGTATTTTATATATTTAGTGATTGTATGAATATTTGGTGTTAAAAAAAAGAGATTCATTATTTGTCAATTGTTTTCAGAACTCCGTCATCAGAGTGAATAAATAGGTGTTCGGAAGCCCTCCCGTTTTCTCATTCTTCTTTGTCCAAACCAATTTTTTCTGAAGAGTGAAGAGGTTCTTCAAGAGAGTAGAGAGATACAGAATGGCCGAGAGAGGAGTGATAGAGGCAGAGATTCATGAAGAACAAGAGTCAGAAGTACAAGATGGAAAAGGGAAAACAGAGAAGACACAAGAGTCAAACTAGGAGTATGTGAAAACCAGACGAAGGGTGCTAAGAGGTAAAATTACAAGATCAATTCGCAGAATAAATGACCAGATCCAAAAAGAAACCCTATCAGAGAAGATAGCAGATAAAGAGTTAGAAGATCTAAGAAGAGACTTTGACAGTGCATTGAACTTTCACAGTGAATTGTATGGGTATGAGGAGGAAGATAAACTAGAAAGATGGGAAAATGACCTCACAAGAGATGTCCAATCCATTGAAGTGAAAGTCGAACACTATTTTACAGTTGAAGGTACTCAGAGTAAAATAAACAGTGTTTCAAAGAGTCCCATGGACACCTGGATAGACAACTTGGCAGAATTTACAGAAACTATACACCCAAAACCAAAAGTAAAAATGTCCATTGCTGAAGCATTGTATAGCCTTGAATCAAGAGAAATGCCTGCTAGCAGATCAATGACTTTCAATGGTGATCCGTTACAGTATGTAGAGTTCATTGAGACATTTAAGATTCAGATTCATGACAAAATTCACCTGAATGATGATCAGAGAATGCAACACCTGAAGACAGCATTAACAGGAGATGCTGCCAGAGCTATAACTGGCCTGGGATGTGCAGGAGTCATGTACGCCACTGCTTTGAAGATGGTCAAAGAACAGTTTAGACAAAGATCAGTAATTGCCAGAGCACACATCAAGAAGTTGACAAGCGGGGAGAGACTTCGACCCAATGACAGATATGGACTCAGATCACTTTCACTGGACATCACAAACTGTCTAGCTAATCTATCTCAGACGCTAACGCCACGGAATCCCTCAGAAAGATAATAGGACGTCTGCCAGACTACCTCATCAGGAAATGGAAAAGTCATGCCACTGATCTTAGAGAGAGAGGTGAAATCCCAGACCTACAGACCATCAACAACTACCTTCGTAAGCAGGTGAAGACAGAATTTGACCCAGATTACGGAGACATTGACAAGAGTTACAGAGACAAAGAGAGAGATCAACGAAGAGGCATCCATTCGGTAAGAGAGATCAAATGTCATGTCTGCAGTGAAGGTCACAGAGTTCCAGACTGTCCTACATTCAGAAATTCAACTGTTCCCAACAGAGTAGACCTGATAAAGAAGAATAGACTATGTTTCTCCTGCCTCAACAAGGGACATGTCACAAGAGACTGTAGACTGAAGAAGGCCTGTGGGAAAGACAACTGTACGAGGACACATCACATGCTGATACATGCAGATCCAATAAGATTGGGGTGTGCATCATCAGTGCTAGATCATGACAGCATCATGCCAGTGGTCAGGGTAAATTTCATATCAATAAATGGAAGAGTAAAAGAGGGAAATGTACTGATAGATGGGGGAGCGGGGACTACAATAATCAGAAAAGGCTTTGCTAAAACACTAGGTCTACGATGAGTGAAAGAGGTACTAGAGATAGGGGTAGTAGGAGGCGAGAGGCATGTAAACAGAGATAGTCGTCGTCATAAATTCTGGATATGTCCCCTTGATAGAGATGAAGATTACGAAATCGAAGCTCATGAACTTGATCAGACTGTACTGAGTGTTCCTGATTTGAATAGAGAATGGCTGTCAACGTTTAAGCATTTAAAAGGTATCTCCTTCCCACATGAGGGTGATGACATTGACATGATACTAGGAGTACAATAAAGTCATCTCCATGCAGAACAAGAAGTACGAGAGGGGCGCCCGTTTGAACCAGTAGCAAAACTGACCAGACTTGGATGGTGTGTAATCGGCTCAGACCATAAGCAGAAGACTGGTAGCTCAAGTGTCAACTTCTGTCAAAGACTAACTAATCCAGACATCGCGAGAATGTATGACATGGAGACCATAGGAGTTCAAGCATCACATTGCACCTGTCCCAGAGATATCCTATCAGAAGATGACAGAAATGCACTGGCGCTAATGGAATCTACATGTCAGAAACAAGGGGATAGATATGTCATAGGATTACCCTGGAAGAGAGACAAATCAGAATTACCAAACAACTATGCCTTGGCTCCAAAACGACTGATGTCACTGGAGAGGGGATTGAAATCTAAACCCCAAAAAACAGAACTATACAAGAAAGCGATGAAGGAATTCATAGACAAGGGATGGGCTGAAAAAGCACAGACTGCAGAGAAGGGAACTGTAATCCATTACCTACCACATCATGGGGTCTACAGGGAAGATAAAGAAAGTACACCCTTGAGAATAGTCTTTGATCCAGCAAGCACGTTCCAGGGAGTCTCCTTAAATTCTTTCCTGTACAAAGGTCCATCACTGCTGGGTAATCTGCTCGGTATCCTCATACGCTTCAGAGAAAGAGCTGTAGCATTTCAGGGTGATATATCAAAGATGTTCTTACAGATACGCCTACCAGAAGCTGATACACAAGTACACCGATTCCTGTGGAGAGATCTAGATACAACAAGAGAGCCTACAGTATATCGTCTGATGAGAGTGACATTCAGCGATAAACCATCTCCTGATATGGCCAACTTCGTCATGTTAAAGATAGCAAGAGAAAATGAAGAAGAGTATCCAGAGGCTACAGAAATATTGACAAATGACAGATACATGGATGACATAATTCATTCCTGCAACGTACCAGAAGAGGCAGCTAAACTGATGGGAGAACTTGACCACATACTTGCATCAGGTTCTTTCAAGATAAAGAAATAGTATAAATCAGTTGATTCAAGTCCAACAAACACAAGAATGACAGACCTGAGAGACATATCCACACCAGATAAAAGTGAAGAGACTGTGAAAACCTTGGGAGTGTTCTGGAACTGTGAAAGTGACACAATATACTTCAAAGTAGAAATGAAAATGGAAGAGCAGCTAACGAAGAGAATAGTTCTATCCAGACTATCCTTGATATATGATCCACTTGGCATTGCAACCATCACAACCATCAGAACAAGAATAGCCATGCAAGACCTATGGAGATTGAAAGATACTGACTGGGATGATGTATTGTCCAATGAAGACTGTAAGAAATGGACAGAATTGTTCCTGGATCTGGAAACCCTGAGAGAGATGCCTGAGACCAGAAGAAGTAAGCTCAACCCCGGAACTGCATGTTTTCTGTGATGCAAGCCAGAATGCATATGGAGCCTGTGCATATCTGCTGTGGAGAACAAGTGAAAAGCTGAAGTTCAATTAATAGCAGCAAAGGCAAGGGTGGCACCACTAAAACAGTCAACAATTCCTCGACTAGAACTGATGGGAGCTCTACTAGCGTCTAGACTGGCAAGAACCATTTACACAGAACTAAGAGAAAAGCCCGACGTACTTCTGTGGACAGACTCCCAAATAGTCTTGAGATGGATAAATACTGAATCAACAACAAAAAAGGCCTTCGTGGGTGTCCGGGTGGCTGAAATACAGAGTGAGTGGAACATAAATAAATGGCAGTTTGTTCCTACCGAACTCAACCCGGCTGACGATCTGAGTAGAGGGATAACAGTGAGTGACATCAAGAACACCTGGTTCCATGGACCTTCATTCCTCAAGAAACCGAAAGGTGAGTGGCCTGACCAGACCATCTGTGCAAAACCAGCAGACAGAACACCCGACAATGAAGACAAGCACGTTAAATCAACATGTGCAAGTGTAATGACTGAAGTGATTAATCTATCCTCAATCATAGACTCTGAGAAATATTCCAGTTTCACAAGACTGATCCATGTAACATCATATTGCCTCAAATTTCCCAGAAATCTCAGGTCAGCAGTAAAAGAGAGAAATCTTAACAAGTGTCTGCTTCCTGAAGAGAGAAAATCAGCAGAAACATGGTGGATAAAGCAGGCACAGAAGGAAATCCCAGACTGGAGAAGAACATGCAGTGAGTTATCTCCCTTTGTAGAAGATGGGATCATCAGAGTAGGAGGAAGAGTAAAACATTCATATCTAAACTATGACCAAGTTCATCCCGTGCTGTTAAGTGGTTCCAGTCACGTCGCCAAGCTCATCCTAAGAGAAGTACACAACAAAACATACCATGCTGGTGTCGAGAGAACACTGTCTGAAAGCAGAAGAAAATACTGGATAGTGAAAGGTAGAAATGCAGTGAAAGGTATGGTGAGAAAATGTGTAATCTGCAGGGAAATGCGACAACCTGCGCATTCGACACTGATGAGTGACCTGCCTTCAGAGAGACTGAAGATATATTCACCGCCGTTCACAACAACCGGTGTAGACTTGTTTGGACCATTTCACCTAAAGTATGGAAGAAATAAGAACATTTAAGCATGGGGTGCTCTGTTTACATGTGCTACAACCAGAGCAGTGCATTTGGAAATAGTATAAAGCTTGTCAACAGATTCATTTCTTCATGTTCTGAGAAGATTTGCATCACATCATGGCTGGCCATCGACAATCATCTCGGATAATGGTACGTCGTTCGTTGGACCAGAGAGAGAATTGAAGAAAATCTTAAAGGACGGACAGCAGGACATCAAAGAAGTGAGTGCTTTCAACAATGTGAAATGGATTTTCACAACACCTCTAAGTATCTATGAAAGCCTGATAAAGCAAGCCAAACGAGCAATCCGTGTCGCGGTTGGAGACCATACTTTGTCATGGAATGAGATGTCAACAATATTCAGTGAAGTGAAAAGTCTGTTAAATTCAAGACCGCTTGGATACTGCTCGAATGACTCAAATGACCAACAACCAGTGACACCAAACCATTTCATCCTTGGTCGTGCTACAACAGATGTTCCACATGGACATTTCGACCAATCCGTGAGTCTCAGAAAGAGATTTGATTTCACACAAACCCTGGTAAACCAGTTTTGGAAGAAATTCATAAGAGAATACATGCCTACACTGATGCAGAGAGTAAAGTGGAGAAGTAAAGGGAGACAACTAGCCATTGATGATATAGTGCTGTTAATAGACAATCAATCTGCACGTGGAAAATGGCCCATGGCGCGTGTAGTTGAAGTGTTTCCGGGTAAAGATGGTGTGATCCGAAATGTGAAAGTGAAAACTCAGAACGGACTGTACACAAGATCAGTTCAGAAGTGCTGTGTGTTGATTGAAAACTAACTTTGTGCTGAGATACATGAACTGACACAGTGAGGGATTAAGTGTATATATATCAAGAGAGAGAATGTGAACATTTGTGATGATTTGCATTTAAAGATGTTTTCTTTGCTTATTTTCACTTTGTTGTGGCCCCCGAGTGTGGATTGAATTAATTTTGTTAAGAAAATATTCAATTTATAATTTTGTAATACATTTTCTATTTTAAAAGCTTAAGTTGTCTTTTTGTACTTCTCGGTCGAAAGTCATATTTTTTCTTTTGTCGACAGAGAATCATCAATAAATTCTAACTATATCGATTGTTTCAGGTAGATAGTATTTTTTAACTCATTGTATTTCCGCCCGTGCGGCACGAGCACTTGATCACATGCTTTTCAACAGAAAGAGTCAAGCGAGCGAGCGAGAGAGAGAATGTCAAAAATATGGGAGGTTTACTCTTCAGGTAATTAGTTGTACTTTATATTGTTTATTAATGCTTAGAGTAGCTTTTCTTGTATTATTTCATGTAATTTAATATTTATGCATATTTGAAGGAAAAGTGTAGGATTTTGACAACTGTTGACTCCTGGAACAGTCCATTATATTCTAGCGTAGGGATGTTTTCTTAAATGTACATTTATTAGAGCCAAAGTCACTTTATTTTTTATTTCTTTCCAATATTTGTAACATCCGAGTATTTTGCAATTATTTTCGTAAGAAAAGTGAATTTTCAATTGAGTTTTTTTTGTAAGCAACAAGTGTATGAAAGCTTCCAGAGATTTTTGCGTGCACTTTATTTTGGAGTAAGTGCAAAAGAGATTACATATTATGGGTTTCCTGATATTTTGTTACACTATTTTATATATTTATTTGATAATTATTTCATAAATAATATAAGGCATTCCAGAGAAAATTAGTAACACCGAGTCATTGTACAATTGAGAGTAATTAATTTAATGCCAAGAGACTTTCACTAAGAGGTGTATTTTATATATTTAGTGATTGTATGAATATTTGGTGTTAAAACAAAGAGATTCATTATTTGTCAATTGTTTTCAGAACTCCGTCATCAGAGTGAATAAATAGGTGTTCGGAAGCCCTCCCGTTTTCCCATTCTTCTTTGTCCAAACCATGTATCTTTAATTAAATGCTGCTCTTTTCCAGCGTCACGGCTATGGAGTTGAGACAAGAGACCCAACCATCATAAAGTTATTAGGGTCCAATAAAAACAATGCCCCGCCAAGCCTCATAAACATAATCACTGAAAGTCGTTCTACAGACAATTAATGTCAAATCAGAAAAACAACAACATTTGAATGGCAATAACATTTACTAGGATCGTGTATTCTCTTGACACCATCGCAAAACATCATGAAGAAGCCACACCACTACTCATATTTTTCTACAAAATCACACGTCTAAAAATGAGACATCAGCAAGTACAAACAATAACGTGTGTTAGCATTTGTCGTCAGGATATCAAAAATGTCTCTCCCTGTTACCACCACCAAGTTCAGCTAAACATGGGTCCTCCTTTGGTCAAACGTTTGTTCCCCCTCTAATGTGTGTGTCACGGGTATTACATGTGTGGCGGACGGGTTCCACACGAGTGACCAACGGGTTGCGTAACGCGGTGCCCATGCGTGTAAGAGGAATGAACTTCTAGGCTCCTTAAGCGTTTGCCTCAACCATGTCTCGAAACCCTTTTAGACATCTTTGATCAAATATCGACTTCAGGGAATTTTCCTCCTTCGTGGCATGATGCCATTGTAGTCCCTGTACAAAACCCTGGTCGGGATCATACAGATCCATCTATTTACCTCCCTGTATCGTTAACCGTGTCGGTAAAACCATGGAGCGGATGGTAAATAATAGATTCGTTTGGTATTGGAAACCAATAATCTAATTACAAAGATCCAAAGTGGTTTCCGCAAAATCGAAGCACTATCAACCATTCAGTACGTTTAGAATCATTTGTTAAAAATGCTATTGTAAGCAAACAACATGTCATGTCAGTCTTTTCCGATCTTGAGAAAGCCTATGACACTACTTGGAAGCATGGCATTTTAAAGGATTAACATGATTTTGGTTTGAGAGGTCGTTTACCTCATTTTATATCACAATTTTTAACAGACCGACAATTTCAAGTCCGAGTGGGTTCAACCCTGTCTGACCGTTATATTCAGCGTCAGGGTGTCCCACAAGGGCCACAAAGCAGTATTTTGTCTGTTACTTTATTTAGTATCCAGATTAACAGTCTGTCAAAAGTCTTAAATGATTCAGTTGATGGATCGTTGTTTTCCGGAGGATTTTAACATTTCTTGTCGCGGTAAAAACGTGCACACTATTGAGGGACAGCTGCAATTGTGTCTCAACAAAATCCACAAATGATCGCTTGTTAGCGGCTTCAAATTTTCTAAAACTAAAACTAATTGTATACACTTCTGCAGAAAATATAGACAGCACAAAGACCCAGAACTATTTCTATCTGGCACACCCATCAAAGTAGTTGAGGAGGCCAAGTTCTTGGGGCTTATTTTCGATCGCTACTTGACTTTCTTGCCACATATAAAATATCTCAAGGCAAAATGCCTAAAAGCGCCAGACTTGCTGAAAGTCGTATCACACTCGAGAGGGGGCGGAGATAA